CGATCTCCCCAAAACCCCAAAACCCCAAAACCCCAAAACCCCGAATCCACAAATTCAGGTTATTAAGAAGAAAATAAAATAAAATTTCATATAATTCAGTTAGAATAAAGATGCAAAAACCAGGCTCATATCTCGATTCTTAATCACTTGCTAGCATAAGTAAGTTAGCATATCTAAAATTTTAGCTAAAGGACCATAAAGTATAATGGGGGCTACTAATTCTGCTTTACCAAGGGCACTATAAACACCAGGATTCACAAGATTAGGCTCATAATCTCATAGATCACTCAAATAATTTGTAAACCTTGATGTAGAATACATTCCAAGTGGAAAATAATGCTCTGTGCATGGCTGTAAAAATGATCCTTTTTAAAACAAGTAAAATTTAATTACCTACTAATGAATATATTAGTGATAAATGCTCTTCTCATATAGTAGATAGTCTGAGATAGAAGATAAAATTTTTAATGCAGTAGAAATTTAACATTGGAAACTCCAACAAAATAGACTTATCGATACTCAAATAAATTTTTGATTGCCTCGACAAGAATCGTGACAATATTATTACTATCACTGAAATGCAGACCTACCTTAAATAAAACGAATTTAGATTTGAGGAGAAAGATCTTAAATTGCTCTATCAATTGTTTGGAAAGAAAAATGGGCAGTCTATAACAGGAAGTTTCATTCCAGGATTTGACTTGGAATCCTTTGGTAAATATTTCTGGGGTGTGATAGTCAGAGAAGATGATGTTCTTGATTTGGTTGTATCAAATATGATGCCTTCTTTCCCCTAATATGGAGTGTCTCCTAAAAATTTTAATTCTACTTATTAATCAAAGTAAGAAAAGAGTTTATAAAGAAATACTGGACAAGTAAGAGCTGCCTCTTAACAAGACTTTCTAGATTTCACTTAAAATGAACTTATAAAAAAAGAATGGCTATTAAAAAGTAAACTCAGCACTTATTTTAGCACTTCTAAGCAAGCATATTTAACTCTAAAGCGTTCAAGAGATGGGTTAGAAGGGGACAAATTAAAACTAAAAGATATTCAATCATATTTGCAAAATCAAGAAAATGAATAAAATCTCTCAGACATCAAGTTTTTGAGGTAGTTATTTAAACTTAGAGAGATGATCGTAAATGATGAAACCGAAGAAATAGAATTTGAGCCTTTTAGAAGGTGGATGGGAACATCCCTAGAGAGGAGAGAAAACTTCTATTTTAGACACGACACTTAGGAAAATCCCCACTTTAATCAAATCGTATTTTAAGAAGGAGCTAATTCTCCCAAAAAAATGATGAATATACATCCGTTATAAAGATCTTCGAGCACATAGCATATTAGATAAAATAGGGCTAATTTCAATAAAAATCTTACAGCCACTTCTTAGAAAAACGAGTTACTTAATGACTTAATTGACAAAATTAAGAATAAATATAATACCATCAGCAAAGCATTCTCAGAGATGAATTACATCAAAGAATCATAAAATGCCATTACCAAGCAGTCATTCGGAAAAGTCCTTGTTGAGCTAGGATACTTTTTAGATGAAGAAACAGCAAATGAATTGTATTCTTAATTTGATGTTGATAAAGATGGAATCTTGAATAAAAATGACTTTTACAAAGGTAAAAATTCTATTAAATACAATTTATATAGTAATGGGACAAAATATGATGCCATCGATCGAAGATTTTTAAAAGATTGAAATACCAGCATTTGACAGACATAGATGCAGAGATCTATTCTGCTTGGTAAAATTTATAAACTTAATTATTTTATAGAAAACAGTTGAGAATGACGAGATTCTCTGCTAAGTTCACTAATAAGCTGCAATGGATTACTCCATTGATTTGCTTCAAAAGATTAGATCATGCTTTGATGATGATAACTGTTGGCAAGATTTTCTTAATACTTTGTTAAACGAAAACTATACTTTTGAAACTCTAGCTAAATTAGTTAATCCATTAATGAGATAAATCTAAGATGACATTGACTAGATAAGAACGGATATATCATATCTTCAATTCACTTTAAGATCTAACAAACAAAATTTGATTCATAGCGCATTAGGCTTGAATTAAGGTTCAAACAGACTAAAGACTTCAAATTCTAGAAAAATGACTATAAAACATTAGTAATTCTTGAAGCACATCAGTGAGTCTGCTAGGTAATTCAATAAAGAATCTTTAAGATCGAGTAGTCAAAATCCTGTTAGTATTAATACTATAATTTAAAAGCAATCTTTAAATAAGCAAAAAGATATCAGTGAGAATTCAGCTTTAAGTCTAATCTTACGTTATTATCAAGAAAACTAAGAATAGCTTTTACAATTAAAAAAACTATTAAGAAAATTTGATAATGATAAAACAGGATATATTGAGATTAATCACTTTATTGATGTGGTCAAGACTAAAATACCATCATTTAATGACACCTAAATGGAATAGGAATTCAAGTAGTAGATATCTAAGTTTGTCTCATAGAGTCATATTTCAACATTCAACTTCAAATTATTCTTTGATGAGTATCTTCCTGTGAATACAGTTATTGACTAAGCCAAGATTTTAAACTAAAATCTACTTAATACTATAAAGCAAAATGGAAGCAATAAGAAATCTTACTTCAATAGCAGTCAATTTAAATATTCTCTATCTGGTTTAGGTGATACTTCAGACACTTTAGCCTCAAAGATGGGTTCAAGAATTAGTGGTAATCACACTCCATAAAATGGAGCACTTACTTAGAGAATTGGCTCTGATACTTTTAGAGACAATTATTTCTCTACTACTTCGCTAAACCCTCTACTGGCATCTTAGTTTGATTCAAATTTACTGAAGTTAAGATCAAAATTAGAATATGAATGGAAAAATATTTATAAGCAATGCTTGCTTAACGACATAGCAAAGTCAGGCTATGTTAAGGTTAAGTCACTAGAGAAGATTTTTTCGAGCTTGAAAGTTTTTGCTTCAAATGAGGATCTTACCAAGTTAGTTTAGATAGTGAATACCAATGATGAGAATTCAAGATACAGTGAAATTAATTACATGAAACTCGCTGAGTTAATGCACTTGCCCAAATTGTTTGAGGGAGGATAGACTGGCAAATATCTTGAAAAAGTTAATTTGCTAAAATAAAGCAAGGCCATTTCTGATAACTAAGAATAGCTAAACAAAAAGACAAATAAGACTTTGATGAACTGGAGACCATAAACAAGTCTAATGAATTGAATTATTAATTCTTAAAAAGCAAGTTAAATACTTTCAATAACAAGTTAAACTTTAAACTATTATAATTAACTTATTCTCAATAACATATTTTAATCAAAATCTTGTCTTTGGAGTCTGCTTTACTTTAGGTAAAATACTTCCCTTCTTCCTGCTGTTCTACTACTGAGACCATTAAGAAGGACTATTACTGAATCTTGAGGCAGGCCTATTATAATTATTACTCATTATATCTTACTTTGGTAGTCCTGGACCTTAATCCTCAATTTAAATTTCCACAGGATCAGTTCTGACTTCAATAACTTCTATTAGTTTATGTGAATTAATATCTTTTGGATTTCTGTTGCATAATGTTGTTGATTAAGCACCTATATGATTAGACATATCAGCTGATAATAGTATCATATATTCAGTCACTCTATTTTTCTCCTTTTATTGTGCCAAAGTTTCTTTTTTCTCTACTTTCTTTGATACTTCATCATCAATCACATAGCCTTTATTTGATGTTAAAACCTAGTCATGCTCAGTATGATAATACATAGAAAAGCTCTAAATTGTTGCTCTATTTACTGGTAAATTTTATTGGAAAGTTATCTACATTTAATAAGAAGCATTTATTTACTTTTCATATAGACATCTAGATCAGTCTCTGGAGCTTTATTTCCTCCACAGCTCAAATTTCCCATTAATGATTTAATAATTTTATTTCAAAATAAAATAATTCAATTGATATTTAGTGAGAGGGGTTTTGGGGTTTTGGGGTTTTGGGG